GGTTCAGGTGTGTTTAATTGGGGTTGGAGCTAAACTCTGCAGGACAGTGGCCCTCCAGGACCAGGTTTGGACACCCCTGCCCCGGAGGAGCACGCAAAGTCAGACATGCACGTTTCTCAGATCACGTTTCTAAGAATGAGAATAAACTAGAAATTAAACTAACTAAAGGGGAGTTGTGATAGAATAAGATATAAAATAGCACAAAGTAGATGGGTGATGTAGGCCTAATAACTTATAAAACTTTAACTGAAGTAAAGAAATGATAGAATAAGAATAAGTTAATAACACTAACTAAAGTAGAGGGGTGATAGAAATAGTTATAAACAAAAAGCACATTAACTAAAGTAAAGAGATGATAGAATAATATAACACTAAAGTTATAAATAACACTAACTAGCAGAGGTATGATAGAATAAGTTATAAAAAATAACATAACTAAAGGTGTGATAGAATAAGTTATAAAATAACACTACATTAACTAAAGTAGAGGGGTGATAGAATACGTTATAAAATAACAACACTACAGAATGATAATAGAATAAGTTATAATGACATTAACTAAAGTAGAGGGGTGATAAAATAAATTATTAAACAACAAACATACATAAACTAAAGTATAATAAGTTATAAAATAACACATTTGATGGATTATTCTAGGTTAGTTAAAGACTTAATTGAAATGACCAGTAGATGGCTGCAGTGATCCACACATCCTGTTCTCTGACTCCAGACCTGTGGTTCTGAACCAGGGAACCTCAATATTAAATTATTTTAAATGATTTGAATGAAGTTATATTAAAATAATCTAACATTAAAAAATGCTAAATAAAAAAGTAGCTGTTCTTCGCAACAATACACACAACAACCTATGCACATATATAATAGAAAACGATAATGCCTTACATAAAACCATTACAATCATCCGTTAAAAAAAAGAGTAGCCTAATTAAAAGTAAAAGTAATTCAGTTTGTTCAGATTTATTTTATTTTATTTAATGGAAAAACATAAAATAAATATAAAATAAATATAAATCTGGCAACACATGTAATACATTTCTGTAATGCACCAAAAGAGAACCTGCACTACATGGGTCTGGCCATGTATAAAGATAAACTGGATTGCTCATGTGATCGGCTTCAACATCCCCTTGACCTCACAGAGGATAAGCAGTTTGGAGAATGGATGGATTGTTTTATGAATTGCTCATGAAATATGATTGGTTGGAGCTAAACTCTTCAGGGCAGTTGCTCTCAAGGGTTTTGCTCTTCCAGATTTTAGGAAACCTGCTGTAGACCATTTAAAGGGATAGTTTACCCCAAAATGAAAATACTGTCATTATTGACTCACCCTCACGTTGCTCCAGACCTGTGTGAATTTCTTTCTTCTGCTGAACACAAAAGAAGATATTTTGAAGAATATGAGTAACCAAAAAATTTCTGGTACCGATTGAATTAATAGTAATAGTAATAGTAATTAACAGTGTTTTTTTTCCATACTGTGTAAATCACTGGGAATCCGTATTCCTTATATGCACGTAGGCTACTCGCTCATAATTCTCCATAATTCTCTCTGCAGTCCCAAAATGAATATGGTCTTTAGGGTTTTTTTTTTTTATTTCAGTTTTTCGGGGATTATAATGAACTTGATAATGATATTGCCATAAAACGCAATTATATTAGTAATGAGTCAAACTCGTGTCTTAACAAGGCAACATTTAAACTAAAACTCAAGACAAAACGAAAGTTTTACAATCATCGTATGCCTGTTATTAACTGAACAACACAAGATAATAAACTCTACATGGCAGACAGCAGGCAGGCTACTGTAAACGTGACAGTAATTTGATTGGTTATGGTGACTCTGGCGTGGGTGGACCAATAATAGTAAACAAATCCTGTGCGCGCATGCGTGGTGCGAGAGTGCTCCTGGTTAGTCAGGAGAAGCATCTGCTGTGCTGTTAGCTAAACATATCTACTAAGGTTGAGGGCAGTTATTAGGGTTTTGTTCGACAGAGTCAGTAAGTATTTATATATTACTTCCTTATTATTTTTTATATTTATTTATATTTATTATTTTACATATTAAATGTACGGTTTAAAATCATTGTTAATAGTGGTAAAGTTGCTAGCTTCAAAGAGCTAACCGTTGCACTTTCACTACTGCAACCAACAGCTAGATTCCTCATTTGCGCACGTTTTATATTATATTTATCATTTGTACTTATAACATTTTGCATACCCTATCGTGCACTTTGTATTGTTTGGAACGTTTAACTTATCTGATGTGTTTGTACATGATAATGTTTACGTTTGGCCTAACTCGTTAGCCTAGCCACACGACTTTTAAAGTGACGCAGGTGTTGGCCAATCAGCATCAGAGCTTCTGAATACGAGGCGGGGCGTGCGAATGTGCGTTGTGTACACACTATACGTGCTGCACTGGAAGAATATGAAGTTTTGTCTCACTGTCATAGCCATATAAGGCTTATTTGCCAGCCTGTTCACAGGAATGCTACGCGGCTGTAGATTGTCACATGTGGTTTGATGTTTTTTTTAGCTCTGTGAAGTAAGGCTAAAACATCTGTGGTTTACCAGAATCAGGGGAAGTTAATGAAACCTAGCAACCCAGCATGTAAATAATGTGATGTCTGTGGTTTAAATTAAGTCAGAGTGACTTTGTCGGCTGGGTATTCATATAATATTGGCCTTAAGTCATCCCATATATTATATAGCAAGGGTTTTCAAACTGAGGTACTGGGCCCCCTAAGGTGTTAGGGGGTCTTTGGAAAAGTTACGAGAAAAATAGTGTAAAAAAAGGACAAATTTAAATGAATAAATAATTAAATGAAAGTTAATAAAAATCATAATTAGATTTAAAAATAAATGTGAAAGATTAAAAATAAATAAACGTGTAAATAAAAATACAAGCAGTACAATACTTTGATGAGTAGAAAAAAATTCTATATACTAAATATTGTAGGCATATTTATATATTTGTAAAGTTTACTTGTCACAGTAAAAATTTGGTATTTTTACCAAAGAAACTATAGATGCTTTTTAAATTTTTTAAAAATTGCACTAGGATGTCCCCAGTGGCATCTAAAAGCTTGATTTTAATGTCAAATAAATTTTGAAACATGCTTTTTTTATATTCATGAAATTAGAATTTTTCATGTTTTGTTATTTGCTGATATAGTCTGTTTTATATTGGATGCACATTGAGATATTACAGTTCAATCAATTTGTCATACAGGTGTTGAGGACTTGGTTGGCCAAGATGGCGTCTGACACGCTGATTTCTAGGGGTATAATGACCTTTTACCCCACAATTGAAGAGTTCAAGAACTTCAACCGCTACATTGCGTACATGGAGTCCCAAGGTGCACACAAGGCAGGCCTGGCCAAGGTTAGATGAAAACACTACTCTTTACTCTTTAGGCTAAGCTACTGCTGTCAAAAAGACATGCATAAAATTATATTTATTTTGCTCAACTACAGATCGTCCCGCCCAAAAACTGGAAGCCTCGACGTTCGTACGATGACATTGATGACCTACTAATACCTGCACCAATTCAGCAGGTTGTGACTGGGCAGTCAGGGCTGTTCACCCAGTACAACATCCAGAAAAAAGCAATGACTGTGAAAGAGTTCCGTAAAACAGCCAACAGTGACAAGTAAGTCTTGTTGACCTTGTAACACATTTTCCAGAGGAAATTGATTATAACCTCATCTGTCCTTCCTGTTTAAGGTTTTGCAGTCCTCGGTATGATGATTTTGAAGAGCTTGAAAGGAAATACTGGAAAAATGTAACCTTTAACCCTCCTATCTATGGAGCTGATGTTAATGGGACCCTGTATGACACAGTGAGTAAACACTTGTAAGCATTTCTGAATGAGTTCTATTTGGTTTAACTTTTGGTTTGAGTGCTCTCTGATGTGAAGTCATTGTTTCCTTTTTCACGTCTTACACAGGATGTCAAAGAATGGAATATAGGGCACTTGAATACCATCCTTGACACCGTGGAGCATGAGAGTGGAATCACTATAGAGGGAGTAAACACACCCTACCTCTACTTTGGAATGTGGAAAACCACTTTTGCTTGGCACACTGAGGACATGGATCTCTACAGCATTAATTACTTGCACTTCGGGGAACCAAAGTCGTGGTAAGTTTGCTTGTCAAACTTGTGGCTTTCACTAGAACGCAGTCTGGTTAATTTTATTTTGCTAGACAAAACTAATTTGTAGATGAAGTCGTGGTAAGTTTGCTTGTCAAACTTGTGGCTTTCACTAGAATGCAGTCTGGTTAATTTTATTTTGCTAGACAAAACTAATTTGTAGATGAAATTAGGCATGGGCCGATTACCGGTTTCAGGGTATACCGCGATTTGAAAATTTCGCGTTTTCAAAACCGCTAATATTTTCCGTTATACCGTTCCTGTGGTATGCACTATTTTTCATGTCTCCTCAAAGACTGAAAGTGTAGGAATCCCTCAGGTTGAGTGCAGTGTAGGGCTGCGCGATTAATCGAATGCGATTGTCATGCGCATTTTGTTAGTAATGCCGGTTCTGCAATCA